TACTCAATGCACCTGGTGTAATTCTGAGTCTGTCGATTTTTTACCTATTACAGAACCGTCAAGGTTTAGCAAGTTTGTGTGATTCACTTGATATTAAACGGATATTCCAGTGCGGTTCTCTCCTTGAATTTAGAATGAACATAAATAATGTCAATAAAAAAGACTTATATAAACTGTATAATTATTTCATCAAGATTACAGAAATGTTAATAAACTAAAGTCAACAGTTTCATTGTTTATTATTATTACGTAAATGTTAACATTTTCTGTATTGTCATCCTTGACGTTACTGATTGTGATTATTTGGAATGTGTATATTTGAAATCAATTGTCAAATAAGAGTATAAGTCTAATAATAATTTGGAAACTGTTGCAAGTTTTTTGTAACCCTTTCATTAACAAATGTACCACCCCCTGTAACAGGGAAATTACCCTTTTTGTTAATAAATGATTGATATTTAGTGATTATGTGCATTCCTTGCAAGGAATGCAGATAATCACTATTTGTTACTATGTTACACTATGTTACTTGAGTTTTTCTTGTTTAAAAATAAACTTTATTGATTTTTTGTCTTTATTATATTTTGAAATTTAAATGCAATTTTTTATATTATTTATATTGCAATAGCGCTGTGAATTTAAATGCTAAACAGTGCTATGACACTGCAACTTTGGCCTCAAGATGGCATCCACGCGTTGGAGTGGCCATACTCTGTTTATATAGGGCTCTACTGGCGGCTAATTACAGAACGATTTCGTATCCGTAGTTCTGTTTTTTTACCACGAGATGGCGATACTTAGTGACGTCAAGAAGCTAGTAGACAAGCGTAATTGTCATTTTCGGTCGGTTGTGACGTCACTGAATCACGTGACGTCACGCAGTCGATGTAAATACACTATGGTTCGAAAGTGAATAGGGGCGTGGTATCTAATCGCCATTTTGTTTTATCATTGTCGAATTAAAAAAATATAAGTGAAACAGAAGGAACAGAGTTAATTTATTACAAACAAAATTTGCTACTGTTCGTTTCTTGAACGGCAAACTGTCTTTTGTCTAATATTTAATGCTTATATTGTAGCATTAAAAGATGACCATTGTTCATTTTTTTAAAACAAAATATTTAAAATTATACAGTATATTTTAAAAGTTATTCTACTGTTTCTAGATTGGCAACATGAATGTCTTACTTTACCAGCAATTAAAGAAGAGAAGAATCTCATGTATACATTATTGATTGTATATTTTAAAAGTTATTCTTTTGTTTCTAGATTGGCAACATGAATGTCTTACTTTACCAGCAATTAAAGAAGAGAAGAATCTCATTTATATGTTGCCAACCAGTGGAGGTAAAACACTTGTTGCTGAAATCTTGATATTTAAAAGACTATTATGCAATAAACAAAGTGCATTGTTCATTCTACCTTACATTTCAATTGTTCAAGAAAAAGTGAGTGTTTTTTTAAATATTATATCCTTAAAATAGATCTATAATTATTGAAATTTATTCAAATATTATTTCAGATCAAATCGCTTTCTCCTTTTGCACTTGAATTAGATTTTCTAATAGAAGAATATGCCGGAAGCAGGGGAAGATTTCCACCCGTAAAAAGACGTAAACGGCAGACTTTATTCATTGCAACCATTGAAAAAGCTCATTCATTAATAAATTGCTTTCTTGAATCAAATAGAACTGAAGAATTGGGTCTTGTAGTAGTAGATGAAGTAAGTTTTTTTTAAGTATTTATGATACTATTTTAAACATAAGTAAATTATAAACATCAATAATATATCAAAAACATGAATAAATTGTAACAAATATGAATATAAAAATCAGTAAACTATAAAAAACAAGTTTGCATGTATGTTGAAGTAACAACTCTCAACAGATCTTTCTTTAGAATATTGTTGGAAACCAGTTAGTTCCAGTGAAAACTTTACTACAAGTGGGCGTGAAATTCTAGATTTCCACAGTAACTTAAAGAAAAGATCAGTTGTGAATTGTCACTTTGTCATTAAGGAGTTATTTTATTATGAACGTTAACTTGTTTTTTTTATACATTTCTTAAGACTATATATACAAAATGAGTCAGTTCCATTCTGTCCCTTCACACACTGTTTGAGGTAATAGCAATTCCATGGCGGAGTTGACTTTTTATTGTAGGCTACTCATAAACCACACAATGCAAAAACGTTAAAATAGTCCTTTAGTGGTGGCATAACAATAAAATTAATAAATACATTAAATAAAATTGTCGGGACAAATTTACAGAAAAATATATATTTTTCTGTAAATTCATCTTTCCTTACAATTTTATTTAATGTACAGTCGACCCCCCTATAATTACGATTCCTATAAAACTACGAAAAAATTGTGACCGGTATCCGTAAAAAACCCCCTATAATTACCGCAAACGTCATCGGGCAGCCGAACTACTTTCCTGCCGTCTGTAGCGCCAACTACGGAGAGATTTCTATTGTCTGGACAGTATTATATAAATTATATATAAATTAGGTACTGTATATATAATTATATATTAACTTATTGTAACTTTGTTATAATTAAATATATAATTTCCGCCGTCTAGCGTGGCGCCACGCTACGGAGATTTTTACGCTAACTATCGTCTGTCAGTATGTAAATTAGGTACCGTAAGTCTAATACAGTACTGTAATTTTATACATTTCTTGTGAAAGAAACATTTCTTATTCAACGGCGATTAAAATTATTTATATTAATGATGTCTCCGAAGTTCTACGAAGTTTTCACAGAAAAATAAGTTGTTAGAAATCGGCCGCTCTTTGCTGAGCTGTTCCGCGACGAAAACAATGTTGAGCAATGGCAATGTCGAATGGTGACACTCGGTAAGTAATCCTACAATTTTTTGTTTATAGCGTAGTTTATACGGATTATTCCCAAAAAATATATACGTATTTTGGAAATGTTGAGTCGGATTAGTCTAGAATCGATTAATTTTATGGAAGAAAATCTTTCAAACAGCCGTAGTCCGTAAACTTGACACGTGTCGGGTTGTGATTGGAAGGATTTGTAAGAAATCGGATTCCTAAAGAATGGAACGTATCTATATCTTATAGGGGGGTCGACTGTATTTAATTAATTGTTTTTTTTTATAGTTTAATTTAAAAAAAAATGGTTTTGCCACTTTTCAATTTTGAAAATGATTTTGAGTGTGCACAATAAATGACTTGCGCAAACATCTATAGTATTTTGTGTTTTATTTAACAGCATTTAATATTTTCTATTAAATTGGATCACTTGAATATCCCTATCACTGCTAACCTAAACTTAACTGTACATTCATCTACTCTTGCATTGCACATTTGTAATACATAGTGATATACTGTTGCTCCTTGCATGCTGGGCAGCAAATTATTTATCTGTCATATTTGACAACCTGTTCCAGAATTCCTCTTGCTATTTCAGAATACACTAAAAAAGCAAGAGTATGTATTTTTTCATATGTTACAACTTTCTACATACTACGTAAATACAGCAACTAATGAAAATAGGGCAACATTGTCAATTTGTTGACAATGCTTATTCTACATGACTGTTAAAAAAATGGTTACTGGGAACATAAAAAAAATGGTATTGTTTAGAGATAAGCTGAAAATTGCACAGACTGTCTAAATTGAAGAAAAATTTAAATTATTTCTTTTAATATTGTAGAAAATCACAAAAGTAATTTACAAAAGTCGTGAAACATGCAAAGAACTCCTAAAAATGCATATTGATCAATCTTGTATTGTAGGCTAAGTTATTAAAATATGCAAAAAAAAGGAAAAGTGTCCTCTACCAGCAGTGATAATTAAAAAATCTCTTCAAATTCTTAAAAAATACCAAAACATGATTAGTACTTTGTATTGAAAGTTTTTAATTATCACTGCTAGCAGAGGACATGTCTTCCTTTGTGTATTTAACTTAAGTTGTAGTTTACAACAAAAGGCTGATTTAAGTCTGTGTTTTTAGTTGTTCTCTGCATATTTGAGTACAAATTTTTTTTGCCATTGTCTACAATGTTAAACAGAGTTATTTCTTGATATTTTTTTAATAAAAACTTATTTTTTACACTTACATCTAACTTATTAACAATGTGAATAGCTAGTTTAGCAACTAGCTATTTTATCAATAACTAGCAGNAACAGAGTTATTTCTTGATATTTTTTTAATAAAAACTTATTTTTTACACTTACATCTAACTTATTAACAATGTGAATAGCTAGTTTAGCAACTAGCTATTTTATCAATAACTAGCAGGTAAGCCTGGGCAAAAAATAAATACAAACATTAAGATTATTAAATTATTCATACCTCTAACCCTTATATTATAACAAATGCATGTATCTATAAGCCTTTTACCAGTTCATGTTTCATCACACTATAAAATAAAGTTACAAACATTTTTGAACCATTATGGTTCTTCTTCAGGTAACGATCCCCTAACAGAATGCGCTTCTATTCAGAGTTGTTAAGAAATACAATCCGGAACGATGTCCTGACCTGATGACATTATGGACTTGTGCACTATGCATGTTGTGTTCTATGTGCAAGATAAACATAACGGTTCGAAAACGTTTGTAACTTTACTGTATAGTGTGATGAAATGCACACTGGTAAAAGGCTTATAGATACATGCATTTGTTACAGTACTCAGGTGTAGATATTCTACCATTTTCTTATATTATATTATAGTATTTGATTTAAATAACTACAAAGGTTATCTTACTTACAGCTTATCACACCAAGTGACCAATTTAACACATTTTAAAAATTCTTTAATCTATACTACTATATAAAGAGACAACATATTTTTCGTTTGTGACCACAAACCGTGAAAACTACTGAACCAATCATTACCAAATTTTAACTGTAGCATCTTTATGACCCCCGGAATGTTTACCACTAATCAAACCTGCAGATTTTTTGTTAAACATTCATATAAATTAAAAGATATCATCTAGGGTTAAGGCTTTTATGTCCAACAGATGGTGCTACAAGTATGACGCACTAAGTTTGCTTTTCTGTGAGGATGAACTAAAGCAGATCTTCTATCTATCTATATAAATAAAAATGTAATGTTCATTTGTTCCTACCAATTCCTTTGAAATTTTCACACAATTCGAATATGCACGTGTTTTTATATAATATACATGTGGAAATTCCCCCCACTGGGGGGAGATGGTTAGGATTAAGGCTTACCGTAAAGAACTCTGCTTTTATTTCTACTAATTTAGATGCGGTTTTTTGCGTTTTTGATTGCGTTTTAATAGGGTATGTCAACAGAATATACACTAAAAAGGGATTTTTCAATATTCCCCCCATGGGGGGAGAGACACGATTAAGGCTTACCTTGAAGAACTTGGTGTCTTTTATACTATTTTAGATGCGGAATTTTGCATTTTTGATTGCGTTTTAATAGGGTACGCCAAGAGAATGTACACTAAGAAGAAATTTTTTGAAAAATTCCCCCCACATGGGAGAAGTGTTATACATTTATAATAGATACATTTTGAGCCACAACAACGCATGGTAGGGTCTGCTAGTTTTGTATAGTAGACAAACAAAGAATTTTTAAAATGTGTTAGATTGGGTACTCAGTATGATAAACCCTTGCCTAAGATAACCTTTATATTTATATAAATCAAATACTATAATATAAGAAACATTAAAACGAAAACTTTATAAAGAGTTTGGTTAATTTAGTCTACCATTGTCATGTTTATTGTGATACTTGGATGGTACAAAATGGCACAATTTCTTTGGTCAAGTAGACACCAATTGAAAATATATCTTAAAAAATTTAAGATAACAAATTTGATTCATTCACAGCTGAATATCAAATGGTGATCTGCCAACCAATCAAAAAATGGACCAAATATTTAAACTCTGTACCCATGAAAACCAATTAAATCATATTCTATGAATCATCTTCTTAATTTCTTCTAGCACAGAATAGTTATCCTCTTCCCAGAAGACGGGATGGTCAACAACTACTACAGTGGAACCTTGTTTAATGAGCATAATTCATTCCAGAATCTTACTCGTAATGTGAAACACTCGTTAAGCAAAACAATTTTTCCCATATTAATTAATGTAAAATATGATGATGTGTTTCATGCAGAAAAAAATACTCAAATATTTTGTTATATTTTATGTATAAAGAAAATTATACAAAATACATTGTTAAGGAGTATTAATCATCATCATTTCTTTTAGCGTGGAATGAACCAACCTGAAATGCAAATTTGATCTGCAGAAAACAAAAAAATCACAGATAATATGTTTGATAAACACTCCAAACGATATGCCAAATTCATGGGCTATGTAAAGGCTATAATTAAATAATAAAAATTAATTAATTCGACTAGAGGTAGGCAGTTATGCTTCCATCTTGTATTAAATTTAATAATTATAAATAGTTAATTTTTAATTCAGACATTTCTAAAATTTAATTTGGAATTGGTCACTAAATTTATTACGAGATGGCAGCATAATTGCCTACCTCTAGTCAAATTAATTAATTTCTACTATTTAATTATAGCCTTTACATACTCCAAGAATTTGTCATATTGTTTGACATGTTTATTATATAACAGAATATGGTTGTTGATGTTTATATGTAATATGTGTGAACACAAGTTTGGAAAAATGTGTGATTACGAGTGACACTAAGATGCTAGCAGAACGAGTGCTAAACACAGAC